CACAGCACACCTGAGGAGACGCTTTGTTGAGCAGACCATTGTCGCACTGCTTCAGTTCAAGCGACAACATGACAGGAGAACCTTTATGTAGCGAGTATGACAATGACTTATATATTGACGCTGTGTAACTGTTTCAGAAGCAAACATTTTTGCTGCCTCCGACCGTCAAGCACGGCTCAAGAAATGGTTGGCCGAGATAGGCCATTCTAACTGCAGTAGTACGGCTTGTACCTGAAGTTAATGATCACATACTGCCAAAGTGAGGGTTTCCACCTCCCACGTTGTGAGTTCAGCGGTCAGGTGTAGCATTGCTTGATCGCCACAATCACACGAACACATTGAGCCAAGCACCTCCTCCAACATTCTTATGCATTCTTGACAAGTGAGGACCTTTTTGGGGGTGTGGGCGAAAAAGTGCTCTTAAGCGCAAAATTGCTCTTAGCATCTCTTAACAGTCTTAACATTCAATCAGGGCCTCGATGGGTGCAACAAGTCCTTCAACGGCACCATGCCCACCATGCCTGCCATACCACTGTCCCTGGGGTTAGCTGCGCTGGCCGTCTTGGCCGCCGCAATGGCCTTCGCCGTCCCGTGCCTCGGCCGATCAATTGGGTGGGATCGAGCATCGATCTGGGTCGCTGCACCACAGGAATGTGTGGCGGGACCGCGATGAGACAAAGCTCTACGCGAGGACACTGGGAAACGGCTTTTCTTGATGAGCATGATGAGCAGAATTCAGACCAAAGGCGTGCTAGGTAGTACGTCAACGTGCTAGCACAACTCTACTGCCAGGACTGTGACGTCAAGCAGCAGTGCACAACTGCCCAAAGATGCCGCAGAGGACAGCCAAGGGTACATAGGTCCAAGGCTCATCGAAAGGTTGCTCTCGATCAAGATCTGTGGGCCACGAGGTCTGATTTTTGGGAGAGCTAACAGCTACCCCCTCATGAACGCTTTCCAAGGCGCTAGCTCATGGTACAGCAAGGGCTGAGGAGGCGCTCGTGGCAAGTCGCCAATGCTTTTCAGACCTGACTTGGCTGGCTGTTGAGACAGTCTCACCCTAGGACTAGGTGTAATGCTATGCAATACTCAAGTGTTTGATCTTTGTCATGTTTGTGAAAGAAATGTGCCATTGACATAGCTTTCTGATAGTGACTGATTGTCAGTGATTGTTCATTTGCAACTCCTGGCAGTCTGAAGGCGATTGACATGGCCGTTGCCAAGTCCCTCCATCGTTCTGGCAGATTCTATGGGCTCACGTTGTTCCATGCCTGACGGAGAGGAGGTTCTTTCATATCAAGCATAAACGGTGTGCTTGCGTAGATACAATTTGACAGGCAAGCATAGATCCTGCAGCTTGTTTCAGGAAACAAGAAACAACGTATATAACACATTATAACACCGTCCTCTAAGCACAGTATGTTCCTGGTTGGCAAGACCCTGACCTTGAGATTGAGTGAGGTTGCCTAGAATCTAGAAGCTAGGCCTTGAAAGAAGAGGGTCTATCAGTGAATGTTTGCATCACACGTTTGAGGCTGAAGGACGCTGTGAGCCCCAAGATGGTGACGCTTGCCTGCAAAATTGCTGACACTGCAGGTTTCTGCTGCAGGCGCAGGAGGCACAGGGCTCGGCTTCAAAAGAGCCGGTCGTTTTAAAGATGTTTCCACGCAAGGCGCCCTGTGCGACCACAAGTTGTTTGGCCTAGGATTCAAAGCCACATGTCGTATATTATGAATCAGGCTTTGGAATTCAAGGCAGGCCCTACTGGGTCTCCCAGACATTTAAGGCAGCTGATGCGAGCAGACAGTTTGAAGCTTCACAGCCAGGGCAGGCTGACCCCGTCAGGTCAGCTGTTCTTGGGATCTTGGGTTTGCGTCGCCCGTCTTTTTCACATCAGAATTGCATTTCAGGGTGCGCCTCAAGTTGTGACCAAACCATGAATGTACTAGATTCAGATCCAACATGATGGGAAGCAGTCAAAGGGTGAGAAGTTTACAGTGCTTGCTGAGATGGTGATTGTTTGCCTGCTACATGGTGTTAGTGTCAGGTGATCCGGATGAGCCGCAATTGCATCTTGGTGGCACGTCATCATTGTTCTGCTGTGTCGGCTCCCTCTCCCGCATTCAAGGTCAGAGCAATACAAGAACCTTGGCAAGGATCAATGTGTTGTCATGCGTGCGCGTCGCTGAATGAAGAAAAGGAACAAGGACTCCTGCAGTAATCAATGTGTTGTCAGCAGTCTTCCCAGGAAATATCTTGGGAGCCTACCTGTGCTGACCATTCTGAGCCCACAGCAAGCAGCGGATGATGGCTTGCTGGGGTTGGCATACGGAGGCGCTTTCCTGAGCGGTTGCTTGGTCACATCAAGGTTGTGCTGGATGTGGCTGTCACTGAGTAGCAATCCAACAATCCAAGCAATTACTCAGCCAAAGGCCTTTGCGCACAACTCAGCGAGCTTGCTGGCAAGCGATTGGTTCCTGGGACACTGCAGCGACTTGACCTTGGCAATGATGCCAGTTGGTTTCGATGCCATTTGGTGCACTGAGTGAACATGCGATTCAGATATGCATGGGAAGCAGCCAACAGGTGAGACATGATAACACCAAAGAAGCTGCCGTCATGTTTGGCCATGCTTGGGAGGCTGGCGTTATATGACGGAGAAGGTGTTGCCTACCAAATCCACGAGGAGACTCGTGGAGACTCCGATCGGTCGTCATCGCCACGATCGCCACATTTTCGGATGCCGCCAGGACTATGTCCCGAAGGCTGACTATGACCCAGAAAACTTACCGGAGCACCACCGGGAGTCATACAAGCGAAGAGTCACAGCCATACTGCCGAGGCCTAAGTGGTGGCCTGTTCCTGTTAAAGAGGCTTCAAGATCTTGAAGCCCTTTTTTACATGTTTCTTGTGAAAGCATGGTGCTACCGCTGCACCCACACGCACATTGAACGCATTGAAACCAGAATTGTGTCAGAGATGCTTGGATGATCTTGGATATATAGATGGAACTATCAACATTGCCTTAGCATTGCTTTTGTAAGACGAAGCGAAGCCGGCGAGGTACTTGCAGGATGACTGGTCAGAGGAGCTCGGCGGTGCTTTCCGAGCACATGCAGTTCGGCCAAAGACAGAAGCTTGGGTTGCGAGAGCAGGTTCATTTTCTCTGACCAAGCTTTGTAGTAGGTTGGAGGCCATCGCCAGCAATCAACTAACTTCAAGCAGCGGAGTTTCTGGTTATCGCATTTGGACTTCTGCAGCGAGCTAAGGACACGCCGAAACCAGAGGATGTCATAGAAGTGATGCCAGTTCCATGGATGAAATCAGAATCTCGTTCAATTGTGCCTTTGTCTCGGCTTGTGGCCCTTTTGTCAATAGGTTTGTGTTGCTACTACCATTTTTGGTAGGCACACCCACTACTAAATGCAAGTCATCCGACATGTCCATATTTCCAATCTTATCCATGGGACTTCTTTTGACTGACAATGACTCTTCCACGGTAGAAAAGGACACCAAAGGAATCCTAAGGGTGCTTCCCACTTTGCAGACTATCCAAATGAAGTGATTCGTCTTGCTGTACTACTGACTTGGTATCTATTGGTCCTTTGCGGTTTGTTGGAACTTCAGGCAATTCGTCGTTCTCGGAGTAGCCAGCCCGTGACTCACGTCTCACGCCAGGAGGGAGGATCCCTGATCCTTTTCCGCTCTGATATGCCGCATGAAGTTCTCCCAACCTATGGCCAGCGGTTTGCGCTGTCTATGTGGTGTCATGCTGCATAAAAAGTGCGCGCAAAGGTTGAGACTATCAAAAAGGCACAGAATCACACCTTAGACTAGAGGCACCTGTGGCAGATGCAAAGGCTCGAGTCGAGCACATGACAGAATGACAGCACCTTCGAGGGAGCGGGTAGAATTGATTATATGATTCTACGGCCCCGTTAGATAAGAAGCTTCAATGTTACGTTGATTCCGCAGTGTTTCTCTTCAAGCTGGACATTGGATGGTTCGCTGCCGCCTGTGCTTAACCTTTGAGCACGAGCCAGGTGCAGTCAGCTGTTCAGGTTGCCGATCCATACGGAGGATCCGCGACTTGTACTGTGGAGGGTTCTTGGTCAGAACCCAAGAGAGCCGTGGATTGGAGATCCTACGGTCGTGTGTTGGTGCCCTCACTGACCTGGCAGAGGAAGCAGCACCTATCCTAGAGAAGGAGCGGCAGGAATCAGGACCATCCGAAGCAGCTACTGCACCCAAAACTGCTGGACCCCTCGGGGAGCCTGTGGCCCCTGTCGTTGGTCGGTTGCTTGAGTCAGAGAAGGAGGCCGCGGAGTTCGTGAAGACCGAGGAGGACGAGAAGAAGGACGAGCAGACAACCCCCGGGGTAGGGAAGCTGCGAACAGAAGGTGTTGAGACTGAGGTCAAAGCAGAAGGAGAGGAGCCAGCCAAGCCCAAGAAGAAGAGGAAGAGAAAGCATATAAGCCGAGGCCCTGAGCAGAAGGACCGAAAGCGGCGAAGGAGAGAAAAGAAGGCAGAGAAGGAGGAGACCCCCGCTCCTGAGGAGGGAGCAGTTGAAGCAGCGGCGGAAGAGACAGCCGTTGCAGAGCCCCCCCCGGAGGTCCCAGCTGAGGTACCGCCCGAGGTACCACCACCTCCACCACAGGTACCAGAACGGCGAGGACCCCTTGGCCTTGTACCGGCGCCGAAAGGGTCGGTCAGCAAACATTTCAACCATTTCCAGTACTTGCCAAGACCGCCATCTCCGCCTAGGAGACCCAGGTCGCCGAGCCAACCCCCACCAGGGTATCACAGCAGTGACACTCGAGGCCGACGCGGACCACCATCGAGGTCGAGATCATACTCGGAGGCAGGCCCTGAGAAAAGGCGAAGGGAGTCAAGCATCGGGAACGCGGTATTCAACGCCGCCTTGCAGGGTTGCAATAGCAATGGCTCCAAAAGCCAGAGCAGAGGGGAAAGCCGCCGCCAAGGCCAGAGCCCGAGGAGTGATGTTGAGGCCAGCCGCCAGAGGAGTGTTGAGACGGCCTGTTCATGGCCCGCTGGACGGAGCTCCTGGTCCTCGGGAGCTCTGGAAGGAGGGCAGCGAGGTTGCAGTCCACGAGATTGGAGTCGAGGACATGGAGATCGGCTCCTTCATCGCCTTCACCGACGCCTCATACTACGGAGCCAAGATGAAAGTGGCCGGCACTTTGAAAGGGGTGGATGTGCAGTCGGAAGCAATTCACTACCACCTCAACGTGACGGGGACGACATCAGAAGGCCTGCTCAAATACCAGAGCGGGAGACCAGGGACCACGATCAGGATTCACCGTTGCCCGACCACGTGCACGGGCGAACGCATCGCGGAGGACCTGGTGCATGGCCTGAGGATGCAGCGTCCTTCACGGCTGGGAGGAGAAGAGGGTTGGATGCGAAGTCTCGAAGCAGTCGACCCAGTCGAACCAGGCATGGACGAGCTTGGCGCCTTGCGTGCTCGGGACGCCGGTTTGGCTCCTGTTCGAGGAGATCATCCAGACGATGGAGGAGGAAAGGCCGCCGAGGACAAGGGCAAGCATCGGAGCCCCAGCCGAAAGAAGGAAAAGAAGAAAGAGAAGAAGAGGAGCAGAGGCAGGAGCTCGAAGAAGAAAAAGAAAGGGAAGCACCGCAGTCCGAGCCCGAAAGACAAGGAGGACAAGGCCGAGAAGGCCAAGAGCAGCAGGAGGAAGAGGTCGAGCTCTACCTGCAGCAGCAGATCCGCAAAGCTGGATGGAAGACAACCCCGTCTTGCATCCATGAAGGACTACGACAACCTGTTCGCGGGGACAGGGTTGGACAGGAGAGAAAAAGTTCGACGAAGAGTTCTTCATCGTGCCAAGAAAGCTGCAAAGCGCAAGACCAAGGACAAGTCGAGTTCCGGGAGCGGAAGCTCCTCGTCGAAGGAGACCAGCGACTTTGGCGAGGAGGTGGAGGACACACTCTTGGAGGGGGAAACAAAGATACAACGGGTAGCCCAGAGGGCTCCTGGTGCGTTGGCATGGCAAGCCCTCACAAAGATGCGTGCCAACCTGTTGCAAGAAGCGGGAGCCGAGCAGAAGGGAGGCTCCTTGGGACCGGTGGCCATGCTCTACATGAGGCAGCACGTCCAGAGGCGGGCCACAGGGCCGGCCGCCAGGGAGCTCTTGACGCTTGCAATGGCTGCAGACATGATGTTGAAAGCAAGGCCCGCCAAGGCCCTCGACGTTTTACTGCAGAGAATGAAGGCGGTAGAAGCGGGACTCATGGGAAGTCACTGGTCAGTGACACAACGATTGGAAGTCGGGCCGGGCGACTTGTTGAGCATGACGGGACAAGAGGAATTGGTTTCAGCGCAACGTGCAGCCCACACCGAAGCACGGACCCGCATGCTCGCATCCTACCCCGAGGGGCGAGCGAGGAGCGGGAAAGCAGACGGCAAAGGCAAAGACAAGGGTCGCGACAAGGGCAAAGGAAAAGGAGGCAAGGAGAAGGGCAAGACTCACCCCAAGGAGGATCAGCAGAGCAAATGAGGACTCCTGGTGACGGGAGTGCTTTGAGGAAGAGTATGACGGGATGCATTGAGCAGCCGGGAGACGGGACTCCTGTACAGGTTGGAGACCTGGGTGGAGCACTGGGGACCGGTGCTGTCGAGCTTGAAGGGAGCTTGAAGGCTGTGGTAAATCAGCCTGCTACGATGTCAACCTTGTTGGGAGACAGGGCACTACGATCCTTTCCACCGATGCCCCCGCCATTTGTGAGCGAAGAGGGTAAGGTGAAGGCGCCTGACGCCTTTGAGAAGTCAGCGCAAAAAGAGAGCGAGAGTGTGAGTTTCGTCGGTCGACCTATCTCGGAACTCGGGGGACTACTAGTTCGTTGGTTCATGGAGGTTTCACCACTTCGCAGCCAGTCCACGGGCAGGGGAATCAGTAAAGCTGTCTTTCCTTTGCCCACCTCCATTGAGCTTTTTAGGGACTTGTGGCCGTCCGGGTCCGAGCAGGTTTGGCAGTGGATGGTGTGTGTTTGCAGCGGGTTGAATTCGTTTTGGGGAGGACCCCCTTGCAACGTTTCAAAGGCTTCAGAACTGCAAAGAAAGGTGATGAGGGGGCTTTACATTGAGGTTGAACGCTTTTGTGAACTTGGATTGAAGAGCGTGGGAGTTGATTGGACAACGGTTTTCGCTGTTCGGGGAATAGATTACAAAGGTGAGGAGGTGAAGGTCGCAAAATGGGTCACATGGGCAAACATCGGGCCGGCGCTGCCAAAGGAGATTGGGGCAGTGCCGCTGGAAGAGGTGTGCTCCTTGGGATGTCGGGAGTATGTTGAGTCGTTCGATCGGTTCCTCAAGCCTTGCAATCTTTGGGGTAAGGTCACACAGCCCAAGGTCATGGTAGAGGATGCTGCCTGGGGTGAGATGCGCGCAGGGCTTGTCAAATCGGGTGTCTGCTGTTATCTAGAAGAGTCGGAGGTCTTCCATATCGGGAGTACCCCCCTCCTGAACGGACTTTTTGGCGTTTCTAAGGAGGAGTGGACACCTGAGAATGTTGAGATTTGCAGGTTGATTATGAACCTGGTGCCATTGAATGAGTTGTGTGAACCCCTCGGCGGAGATGTTGACACACTCCCTTCATGGGGCATGATGAATCCTTACTTCCTCCAGCCCAATGAGAACCTGTTAATCTCCTCCGAAGATGTGAAGTGCTTTTTTTATACCATGCAGGTGCCACGCTGCTGGACAAAGTTCTTGACATTCAACCAGGTTGTTCCCGATCATGTCTTGCCACCCGAACTTCAAGGGCATACCACCTACCTCGCGTCAAGGGTCCTACCTATGGGGTGCCTGAACTCGGTGAGCATTGCACAGCATGTCCACAGGAACCTGGTACGTTGGTCAACGGTGGAAGGTAGGGCTGCGCACGTGGATGAAGCCGAGCTGCGGAAAGATAGGAGCTTCACCGTGGCTAACCCTTGTTGGCGTGTTTACCTAGACAACTATGACGTTCTCGAAAAGGTAGAGGCAACTGGCATGGTTGAAGTTGAAGGAACGGTGCCGGGAGGGATTCTGGCACTGCGCCAGGAGTATGAGCGATGGGAGATCCCGAGGAACGAGAAGAAAGCAGTGGAGCGTTCATCCAGGTGTGAGCTTCAGGGCGCAACTGTCGACGGACTCCGTGGAGTGGCCATACCCAAGGAGGCAAAGCAGGAGAAGTACTTCAGCCTGGCAATCACCCTGGTGCAGCAAAGAAAGGTCAGTCAGCGCCAGATGCAAGTCGTGTGTGGTGGACTAGTCTACTTCTCCATGTTTCGGAGGCCAATGTTGGGTACGCTCAACGCCGTTTGGCGCTTCATTGAGAGCTTCAACAATGTGGAGGCGAGGTATCAGGTCCTGCCGCGTGAGTGTAAGTTGGAACTCATCAGGTACCTCTGCCTTATGCCGCTGGTCCGCATGGACTTCCGCACGGAGGTGCACCCGATGGTGACGTGCTCGGACGCATCACTGAGCGGTGGAGGAGTCTGCTGCTCGTCTGGTCTGACTTCGGTGGGCACCATGGCCGTGGAAGGTGGTCTGCGGGGGGAGAGACCTCAGCCCCTGGACTCGTTGCAAGTGGTGGTAATAGGACTCTTCGACGGGATTGGGGCGCTCCGGGTGGCCACTGAGCTACAAGGTGTCTCGGTCCTGGGTTACGTCTCGGTGGAGAAGGAGGCAGCAGCACGCAGGGTAGTTGAGTCCCACTACCCGGGTGTCCTTCACTATGATGACGTAGCAGCGGTGCAGGATGAAGATGTCAGGGGATGGAGTTTAAAGTTTTCGGAAGGAGCACTGGTCTTGATTGGGGCCGGCCCACCGTGCCAAGGCGTGTCGGGTCTCAACGCTGACCGTAAGGGAGCGCTGCGTGACGCTCGTTCCTGCTTGTACGTCCACGTCTCAAGGATTACGCAGCTGGTCAAGGGGCACTTCCGATGGTGCCAAGTGCATACTTTGATGGAGAGTGTCAGTTCGATGGACCAAGCTGACAGGGACCACATGAGCCGTGACTTCGGTGCGCAACCGGTGCACATCGATGCAGGGAACCTCTCGTGGTGTCACAGGCCACGCTTGTACTGGTGCACTTGGGAACTTGTCGAGGGAGAGGGAGCCACCCTAGACACATCACAGTCGGTCACTGTGTGGTGGCTGGTGGCCAGGCAGGAGCTGTCGGAGGTTGTTGAAGCAGGTTGGGACAAGGTGGTACCTACTGCATCTTTTCCTACCTTTACAACATCCAGGCCGTCGTCGACCCCCGGAAGGAAGCCAGCAGGGTTGCGTGAGTGCGCTGCTCATGAGCTCAAACGGTGGAGTAATGATCTCCATCGGTTCCCGCCTTACCAATATATGGACAGACATAGGTTGGTCAACCGCCAAGGAGAGCTCCGCGTGCCAACAGTCGCTGAGCGTGAGGTCATGCTAGGTTTCCCGGCTCACTATACGGCAGGGTGCTGTTCCAAAGGCGATCGCAAGAAAGAGGGATACCTGGATCGGAGGCTTACATTGCTTGGCAACTCATCGAGCGTACCGGTGGTTGGGTGGCTCCTAAGCCAGTTGATCTCGCGTCTCGTGGGTGGCACACCCATGACCCCTCAGGAGGTGGTTGATAAGATTCGTCCTGGAACCGCCGAGAGCATCCAGGGGCGGTTGGTCAGGTTGCCCCTGCGTCGTGCCCAACCGGGGGCAGGATCGGAGCAGGAGTTGGCCTTCAAGTTGTGCAATATGGTGAGCGTGAAGGGTGAGGACATATTGCTGACCACTCCGAGTACACAACTGGTTAAATTTCATCGGTTGAGAGCCACCATCCCGGCGAAACTCTGGCGATGTGTGGTGACGGGATGGAAGTGGCGCCATGGGAAGGAGCACATCAACTCTTTGGAGCTCCGGGCGATTCTAAACAGTGTCCGATGGCGTATTGAGCATTGTGGTCACATCAACCGTCGTATGTTGCATCTCACAGATTCTTTGGTATGTCTGCACGCTTTGACGCGAGGCAGAACCAGTTCTAGGCGCCTAAGGGCAACTATGTCACGCATCAACGCTCTTGTTCTCTGTTCCAACGCGCAGTTCTTTTGGGCATATGTGTCTACCGACACGAACCCGGCGGACAAGCCAAGCCGTTGGGGCTCTCGCGTCAAGACCAAGTTTAGAAATGCCTCAGCGAATTTTAGAAGGAGGAACAGAACAGGAGCGAGCAAAGATGCGAAAACAACTCGGTAGCCTCAAAGGGCTAACTGTGCAGCCTTCCACGAGGAAGAGATATGACAAAGCGGTCGATGGTTTTCTGCAGTTCCTCAAGTCAGAGAACCTCCACCTTCCTACTGATAGGCGTCGTCTTGACCCGTTGGTTTGTGACTACCTCGAACACCTCTGGTCTGGCTGGCGTGTGACACGCTGGCCGGCTTACAGGACATTCAGCCTGGACTGCGTAACCATATGCCGGCAGCCTGGAGGCTCCTGCGTACATGGCAGCACAATGAAATACCAAGCCGAGCGCCGCCCTTGCCTGAGCATGTCGTGCAGGCGATGGCCGGATGGGCAATTTTTAATAACCACCATGCCTTTGCACTTTCACTGCTGATAGGATACTACTGCATGCTGCGGACAGGTGAAGTCCTGGGCTTGCTTTCAAGTCACATTGATTGTGCTAAAGGAGCTCTCCAAGCTGTTATCAGCTTGGGCTTCACAAAAGGAGGTAAGCGGCATGGAGCCGCTGAAAGTGTGGTGTTAGGGCTCGAACCGGTTGTTCGCCTGGTCAAGGAGTGGAAGAAGGGAGCGCCGGTGGGAGCACCCATGACCTCAACGCCTCCAAAGTGGCGACAGTTGTTCAACCATGCTTTAGAGAAGCTTGGGGTAGCTTCGTTCCAGTTTAGGCCGTACTCGCTCCGGCGAGGTGGGGCCACTTTTTTCTTCCAAAAGCACCAAAACCTTGATAGGATACTTGTACAGGGGCGTTGGCACACACAGAAAAGTGCCCGCCTATACCTCAATGAGGGCCTAGCAGTTCTGGCCCAGATGCGTTTACCCCCACAAGATTCGAGATTGAAGCCTTACTTGACCGTGTACAGGAACTTTCTCTTGCGCCAGCCTTTCCCACACTTGAGCCTCCTGTCGGAAGAACAGGGGGACGTGGAAGGGGACCAATGAAAGCCATGAAGCGAAGAAAATGACCGTTCAATTTTAATTTTTTCCTGTCGACTATTGTCAGGGAACTGCGTCCACCAGTGGTTAGGAGGTGTGGCTCGCCAAATGTGGAGCAGTCGGGGGATCCCACTCACCCCGGGTGTGGCCGGGTGAGATGGGTCGCCCTCCAAAAAGGTAGGGGAACCTTTTGGTCTGACGGTTAGTCGACGATTGTATTTGTTCCTTGGATGTTTTAATGTTGACAATATCGCTGCGAAGTGGATCAAAAGTGAGTTGAACGCTTCTTTATATATATATATATATAGCCAATTGGGGGGTATAGAATTGAGTTGCTGAATCAATTATATTCAAGGGTGTTTCTTTTTTTCTTTTGTTTTTACTTTTCTGTTGTTCTGCCACTGCTCCCCCTTTAACATCCTTACTTAACTCTCTTGAGGTTTGCTTGATTCATGAAATTCTGACCTGGAAATCGTTTTCCAAAACGCTTATTCAAACTCAACGATTTCATTGCTCCAAACAATTCTTCAAGGGGGTAGTACACCAGCCCAAGGGAAGTGAATATTATCAATTGTTTAGGGGGTGGGATTAATAAGCAAACTTAGAGCCCCAAGGAAAAAGCTAACTTTATTATATGTTGTTCTGCTATGAATGCCCTTTCAAATCCTACTACAACGACGACGAGGACGACGACGACGACGACGACGACGACTACTACTACTAGTGCTAGTGCTAGTGCTAGTGCCAGTCCTACTACTACTACTACTACTACCACCAATACTACTGCTACTACTACTATTACTACGACTACTACCACTACCACTACCACTACTACCACTACCACTACTACTACTAACAATAATAAGACTACTACTAAGACTACTACTAAGACTACTACTAAGACTACTACTACTACTACTACTACTAATTGTTGTTGTGGCGGTGATACTCTTCAGACCCCCTGGATTGTTTGCTAGGGGGTGTTTATGCTACAGTAATTCAGATCCAACATTAATTAGAATAGTTAGAATTTGACAAGCCAACACTTGCTTCGCAAGACAAAGTCGACCTTCTTTCGTGAACTGCCACAGCGACCATCATTTGATCATCAAATCAGCATCAGATCAGCCGATCGTCAGATCAGCTATCATCAGACTAGCGGATCATCTGATGAACATCGGTTCGATCGATCAGCGGATTATTGCGGATCATCGGATCAGGCAGACCAGCGACGATGGACCATAAGTCCAAAAGCGGTGGCAGATGATGGCCGATGTTTGCAGATCTTCGCAAGCAGCACCTTTGAGAGCCACCTCGAGCTGACTAGCAATTGCTACACCACACCACACCAGTTCATGGGGGTTTACTGGGTTTTGGAGTGGTAGGCGCTGATTACGGTAGTTTTAGTCCTGTTAGTATGCATGATAAAGGATCAAATTCTGAGAGGCGTCCGTCTGAAAGAAGGGTCATGCGATGTGGTGCGACACTGTTCTCCAAGCAACTGTGACACTCGATTTTCTTGCAGATGCTGGCATCACTTGCTCCCGAACCCGTACAAAAGGGTTCAGTCCGTTTTTAGTAATCATGCCGGAGAAAAAACACTTGCCGCATCTTCCTGGCTGTTCACTAAGTTGTCCGTCCCATGCACTCCGCCCTCCAACCTTCCTACCTGTCGTGCCTCCCCCTTGCTCAAGCACCCTCAAGTGCCAGCAAAGGTAGGCTCGGACGCATTGGCCGTCCTTAGCTTAGCAGTGGCAGTGTTGGATCAGCCATAGCAGCGCAATTCTGTATGTCAATCTTTTTGACCAGCTCCATTCTGGTTCAGCGATGCGGCATGGATCCACTGCAGAAAATGCCTCAGCCAAGAACTCGATTCAACAATAAAACAATTCCGGCGGGGGTATATATACATTTATTTATATTCTTATTTATTTACAGTATATACACATGTGTTCACCTGCTTGAGAAATATGCAATTTGACCTTTACAGAGGATGAATGGGATTTCATGATTTCATGAAATGTCGGGTGAGCTCTTTGGGCACGCTCCTCAGTGCAGAGGACCTCCGAACAGCACGGCATTGCATTTGAGTGTGCAGAAGGGTTTACTGAAGTTTACTGGGCCATATGATTAGGATTGATTACAGTAGGTATGAACCAAGGCCTTACTGCGCTTACTTCAGCCATGTTAGCTGCCCTACTGAGTCCCCAGCTTGCAAATCCAGGAGAGCTTCAGCCTCCCACCAGTGAGCGATCATTTGCCCCAAGCCTTTCGTGTGGTTTGGGAGACCGGTCATGCCGTGGAGATCCTGTCGTGGAATGTGATGGCCCGAGGCGGGTAGAAATCAGTCCCTGTGATCAGCCCCTAGTAGCGTCCTTGCTCCTAGTAGTACGGCCAGGAGCCCCTAGTAGCTTCTTGTTCCTAGTAGCGATGCCAGGAGCCCCTGGTAGCGTCCTTGCTCCTAGGAGTCTTAGACTTACAGGAGGCTTCTGGGACGCTGAGTTGAAAGGTAGAGCCTGCAGAGTAAGGTCTCCACCTGCACATTGTGTGCGGTTTTTTTTCTAATAAGAAATCAGCAATGTTTACAGTGACAGTGCATGGCTTCAATGCCAGAAAGATGTCCCCAGCAAGTCTTCGACCAAAGCCAGTAAGACCTCAAGGAGCAATTAATTGACCTGTACCGAGCGACGGCCTGACCAGATCCAGAACATTGTTTCGACGTGCCACGCTCTATCAGCAGTATGGAATAAACATAATGCTGAAAATGTTCCATCCCCAAGACAAGCATGTTCAACTGCTTGTCTCGCCGGTCACAATGAGTGTCATGGCTTTGTGTAGGAGTGTCGGATGCATGTCGCCTTTGGTGTACGACCCTTTGACATACAGTATTTCTTCCATCTCACGTCCTTTGCTGTTTTTGGGGCCAGGCCGGGCAGGTGCAACTGGTCGTGCTGGAACTGCCTTGGAAGGCAAACGGCTAACGAACAATGGCTTGGACTGTCACTCACCCAGACACCAGACAACTGTGTCGCGCAACCAACTTGACAGTTCACCTTGTTGTGCATGTTTGTTGGCAGCAGCCGTTCACATGAGGTGATGAAACACCAGACAGCTACAAGCAGCGCTTGAAGGAGCGAGTGCTGCCAGTCCTTCAGAGATGGCTAGAGCAATCCGGCACATGCCAGAGGGTTGCATGCCACTTGGAGAGATGATGAGGAAAGTCATGAGCCTCTTTGTTATCTTGACTATCCCTATGGAACTGGGGTGTGATGCCAAAAGGGAAATACTGATTAAATACTATGAGCCTCGGAATTCTGGTGTTGGTTCGTGAGGCTTGCAGGAATTTCCAGTGCAGCCGTTGCTGCAGCAGGACTGGGGTCTGGTGGGAGCGTACAACGGTCCGGCCTGTGAGAGATGCCCAGGAGTTCCTGTCAGACCTACGCAGCAAGATCCCGTGTTTGCAAATGGCTGTGGGCAGCGCATGGGAGGTGGAGAGCATGGACTTGCCCAATGCATGCGTTTTACAGCTCGTTGTTGAGGCGGGCTTTGCTCAACTTGCCACCCACACCAATGCAGTGGAACCTCAGCTCAAAACCACGGTCTGATGACAATCGAGACAGACAGGCAGGGAGGGTGGCAAGCAGCAGGCAGACAGAAACAGAGACAAAGACAGAGACAGAGACGGCCAGGCAGAGGGAGGGAGGGGGAGAGGGAGAGAGAGAGGGAGAGAGAAGGAGAGGGAGAGAGAGGGAGAGAGAGACAGAGAGAGACTTCTCAAGACCTGAGTTCGCGATTTGTGAAACAGGGCGAGCCATTCACAGTACCATACCAGGTCAGAGAATTTGGTTTGGCTGAGGTTTGGGACAGCTCTTTGTGTGAGCGACCTTCCCAGGCAACTGGTCCCATGCGTCACTGGAAGACCAAGCGGCGGTAGGCTGTTTTCAGAGGGTAGGAGCAAGATGCACACCGACAACATGCCAATTCTTTTCTGAGAGCTACCTAGAACAAGTTGATCAAAGCAATCTAAGAAGGCTAATGTGAAGCGGTTGCCAATCCCATGCCCTGCCAGCGATGGTTCTCCAGGTGCCAAGGGGCCCAGAAGTCCTTCAGCTGGCTCTGAAAAGTACAAAGCATACTTTCGACCTGATGAGACACTTGGAACAAATGGAGTTCATGGCATGCAACATCATGCAACTACGTGAGAATGACTTGGATGGATTCTGAGAATGACTTGTGCTGCAGCATGTCTTTTGTAATTGTGACCAATCGAGCGTGGGGTGGAGGAAGTGTCCCCAGCTGAGGTTTCCACTTGCCATTCAAAGATTCACCAGGGGGCGCTAGGTATAGCCACCAGGCTGCGATAGCATGTGGAGCTCTATCCATGCTTTGAAGGACCACAGAGACATGCCAGTGTTGCTTCAGCTTCGCTGTAAACAGTTTAGAATCCGTGAACCAATAGAACCCTGGCCCTGTCAGTTTTATTGAGCCTTCTGGGTTGCCAAGTTGTTTACACGTCATTAAGGTGAAGGCGTGAAAGCAGCTACAAGCTTTTTGCGGACATTATCGAGGGACACTCCACGGCCTTTGATTGCTGCTGGTGATTTCAATGTCCAAGTGGCTTTGCATTGAAAAAGAGGCGGTGACATGTCCCTGCTGAAGTTGAGCAGCGCTGCTGAGGTCAATGATTTGGAAAAGGCTTTTGGAATCTCGGACTTTGTTGGAGTCAGTTCGGGCCGACAGGCCAGCATGACACACTCGGTGCCAAGTGGGCAGACAGAAACAACAGCCAAGGTGCCACTGCGATGGCAACACAACACGACTCTGCAGTTTTTCGAGGGCAAAGACTCTCCGTTGATGCTTGTGTCGCACTGCCTGGCCTCGAGGCCCCTGCGATCCGAAGAGAGCGCACTGGCAAAGGTCACAAGCAGAATGGTTTCAACATGCACATTGTTGTAGTACCGTTGATGGGTGAAATCTTGCATCAATCAGACGGCGCATGTGGGTTTCCAATGTAACGCGCACAACCCGCACACCCCAACTCAATGCTGTGTCATGTTTAGGATTGTGATGCAAGATTTTGGTCATTCAGCCTTTGATTTGTTTGATGCAGTTGCTCAACTCATGATGTTGACAAGGAGCCTGAGGGTATATATATATATGTATATATGGAGTTGTTCTGCGTGGTGCAGAACTTTGTCCATCAATCGTATCTTGTTGAATGATCAACAGATTCTAGAGTCAGCCAAGGGTCATTCCCAGGTATTTTGTCCTCCTTCCCGCCTACTATCGTTTGCCAGTGTTGGAAAAGAGCAAACAGCCAGAACTTGTTCTATCCATGCTAGGAGCCGTCAACAAGCCTGATGCCTTTGGTCGAAGACTCAGGTGGGACGCCAAGTTTGCCCAGTCCCGGTCTATAAGAGCCTAGCTGTTTGTTTAATATATCTTCCGGATTCTTTCTGCTCAGTCGGAGTTGCTTAAGCAGTGTAAAGCACTTGACAACACTGTACATGACATGCCAAATGTATGAGAAAATATGAGAATATGCTTATGTGTAAGTTTTTGCATGTGCCAAAAGACTGCATTTTGGAGGGAAGTGAGCCAGTTCGTTGATTGAAGGCGGCCTTTTTTTGATTGTTGGTCAAGCATGTACCTCTACAAGTGATCAGAACTTTGTTCTCCGATGTCCCAAATGCAGTCATTGTGTTTAAAAAATAATCCTGTCAACCCCCCCTGCTTCCAAAGGCTATCATCCTTTCCAGCTCTTGCCCCTTTTCAGGTGGTCTGTGGCGGCCCTCCGAGCTGGAACTTTTCGGGCCTGAGGGCCGGGATGCCTTCATCGAGAAATACGCAGCCAGTCAGTTGGGGGTGTCAGGATGTCACACACAGAACGACAGGCACATTTTGGAGTACTGGGAGATTGCTCCTGGATAGCAACATGTTCATAAACGGTCCATTTCTATTTTAGGGGCCCAGGTTCGCGCGCTCCCAGAGAACGAGTTGAGTGCCCCAGACAATGAAGAATGACTCACCCTGTTTCGCAATGACACTGTTTGTGGTTTTCTTGAAGCCGGCACCCCAACAAAATGGTGTCCTTTTGCAGGATGTGCCATGCAAATTTGGATTTATGACATTTGTGTGGCAGATTTGCTATAAGGATCTAGATTAAATTTATCCCTTTTTGGGTTTTCAATTCTAGGCTCGTCTAGATTAAAACTACATTCGGTCAAGTGACCATAAATTTTGGTCATATTTTGGTCGTGCCCATTGAGGTTGCAAAAAACCTTCACGATGATCCGCGGCTCTGGCGGCTGAGCGACACGGCTGTGGCTTCGCTTGGATGCTGGCCTTTTGCTGAGCAACCACGAGAAGTGGCAAGGCGTTTTGCTTGGCAACCTGTAAGTTTGTCATCGCTAGTAGGTTGGAGGCCATCGCTAGTTGGTTGGAGACCATCGCTTTTAGGTTGGAGGCCATCGCTAGTACTTGCTATGAAAGGCAAATAAAGAACGGCAAACATTCTCAACAAAGTCAAATCTAGAAAGGCTGTTGCATGGCACGCGGAGCCAAAAGAAGCGGAAGCTGGACAACCCGTTGCTTGGCACAATTGTTGTTAATTACTCTGACTCTGGTGAAGTGAGCCCCCAATGACTGCAACCGGAATTTGAAGCTAGTTCTGGCGCTAATGACGCTGAGGTGACTGAGTGACTTGGTGCGAAACATGTGCTAGTAGTATCTGGTAGGAATGCCATTGTAAGTGCTTGTTTGTGGGATGTGGCAGTTGGATCTGGGGCTCCAGGTGGACCTGGAAAAAGCCCAACTGCCGAACTTGTGGCAGGCCCTGGGCAAGCACCTTTCGTCACACTGGCTGGCTGTTCCCTGGAGAGGAGGAATGGTTGGAACCATCTCCTCCTCCCAAGCGCCAAGCTATGGGTGGCAAAGGCAAGGGCAAGGGACAAATGGCAGCCCACGGCCCCCCAGTGAGCGCCAAGTGCGGGATGATGGACTTCCCTCGTCACCCCCACTTAGCCGAGAGCGTCAGGCCATTCGGGCCAATTTGCATTGGCAAGAGCTGGTCAAATCTGCCCTGCGTGCGCATTGGCCGGCACTCCCTGATAAGCCCTGTGAGGAGCTGGATTCCCTCATGTTTGAGGAAGGCGTCACTCCCACTGAGCCCAATGCCCAAGAGATCACTGGTGCTTTCAAAGCAACCACTGGCAAGCTCAAGACCCTGGGCATCCAGAAAGCGGCGTTGGAAGGCCGCAGTGACAAAGCCAAAGCCAGCCTTGAAGCCTTGTATGGCAGGCAGCGAGAGTTGGACCAGGAGCTGGCTGATGCCAAAGATAAGGTTTCAGATCAATATTGGACGGCCGTCCTTGGGATGGAGGCCAAAACAGAGCCAGAAGTGGGTGAACCCACGGGACAATCGGAGGAGATGTTGGATCACGGAGACAATCTCACCAATGAGCAACGAGGAATCCTGCGGCAGCTCCTGGGACCGACTAGGGCTGACAAGCGCCGGAAGGTTGCTTCCTCTCCAACCGCCAGCCTTGGCTGCTGGATGTTGAGAAAGTGCCCTTGGACGGGACACAGGCTAAAGCAGCTCCCTCTTCCCCTCCTCCTCGCCTTTAGCCTGCCATGGTTGCTGCGAGAAGCCCTAGGTGCGCTGCCAGCCGCGAGCCTTGGTGACCTCGATAGGAAGCGGGGTGGATTAGAACCTACGGTGCATAATGAGGCTACGGAGACTGGCGTGAACTTTCCTAGTTTTGTAAACCCAGGCAGTTTTGCCACAATACAGCTGAAGACGGCCAATGTAACCAACTATAATGCTGCAGTAGACAGTTGGTTGGATGTGATGGCTTGGTCCTCCATCTTCAAGAAAACTCATCTCGATGAAGAGCAGACACAGCAAAAGCAGAAAGTGCCCTCTGTCAAAGACACCATCAAAGACTTGGGCGTCGATAATTCCTTGGCCAGGAAGAGGCATTTGAAGACTCACAGCACTAGATTGTCGCGGGGTGGTAGGAGACTCCAAATGATTAAGAAATTGCTTGCGCAAGCACGGCGCAAATATGTCAGCATGTCTGCTGCGCCGGCTGCCCTGTGGGGGCATATGGCTTTAGGGGTCCCCCCAAATAAGCTGAAAGCTTGGCGTTTGTCCGTCGCTCGTACTCAGCATTGGGTCGGGTCGAGGATGTCTTGCCATTGCTATGGCCTTTAACTGTCATCGTGAACATGACCCTCTTTACCTTATGCGTGTTGAACAACTTAAGATGTGGGTTGAGATTGTGAAACGCTCGGGCGCTCTTGCTTTGCATGCTTTGACTAGGGCTTGGGATCTCTCATGGCACGAGTTGCTTCAAGTGACACCCAAGCTGTTCTCATGTATTTACAATGGACTGTCCCTGTTCTTGACAAGCGGATTGATCCACAGTTCAGGTTGTGGGACCTGAACTATGAAGATGTTTCCTTACCTTGTGACCTTGAAAACAAAATCGTTTGTAGTATCCAACGCTTGGAAGGCCATGTTGTTGACTCCCAGTTATGTTCGAAAATTCCCAGTTGCAGTGGTGCCCCTTTTGTCCCACTCAAGAATCAAGAACGCACTTGGCATCATATGTTCTATGAATGCCCTGGCTGCATTAAGAAGCATGGGGAAGTTCTTGCTGTGTGGGCGCCGTGTTTGGGTCAATTTGGCATGGAGCATTTCCGGTGCCGAGGGCTGGTTCCCCGACATTGGAATATTGCCCCGCCTATTGCTGATGAGGGTTTGGTCGCTGTTAGCATTTTTCATGACCATAATGTTGGATCAGGTGCCACAATCCTCTTGGGAACTGATGGTTCGGGTGGTCCTTTCAGTGATGACCCCGTCTTCGGAAGTCTGCGTGGGCTGCGGTTGCTCTTCGCATTGGCGGCGATGAGATGTCTGGCGCTTTAGTTGACAGTGATGAAACTTGCAATACTGTCCCTCGAGCTGAACTTATGGCTCTGGTGAGGGCGTTGGCTTTGTCTTGGGGTGATGGGCCTGTCCAAGTTGCCTTTGATGCGTCTTATGCGCAAACTACTTGGAACAAGGTCTCGCGCAATAAGCATGTTGGTAACCCTAATGGAGATCTGAAAATGAGACTTAGAAGGTTGGATCGTCGCTCTGTGGAGCTGTGCAAGGTTTAATCACCCATGAGTCTCCAAGATCACATTGACTTGGGTCGTCCGGCTTGGTCCTGGCATGCTAATGCTGCTGCTGATTCCCTTGCTGGGGAAGCAGCCGTGGCCTTTGCCCCGTATGGAAAAGATAAGGCTAACTCGTTCATTTTTGGATGAGCTTGGCGCTTAAACAAGTGGTTGTTGCCTCGTGTGCAGTCTTGGTTGCGTCAGCAGAGTATCTGCAAACTTCCGAAGAAAAGTGGGTCTAGGTGCACTAAGGATGCTCTCCTGTTGTCTCTCAGAGATAATCCTGTTGGAGGCCATAAGTGGGAATCCTCAGTCAAGGGCTTGTGCTGTTTGCGTTGTGGTACTAAGTTGCCCAAATACAACGTTTGAGTGATCTTGAGGTCTTGGTGCACATCCCTTGTGATGGGATGAGTGGTGTCCGCGGGGTGCATTATACATGCTCATACCATGTATGGTGGCACGCGGAGGACTTGCAATGTCTGCTTTGTTTTGCAGGGCGGCAGATTAGCAAGAAATTGCGGCAACCATGTGGAACCTCCGGAAGGGGCTTGTACAGACGGAAATAGTTTGGGCTGGTGGTATGTTTGGTAAAATGCATAGTAATGCCCTTGTTGCTAGTCAGCTGTCTCATGTGCCAGGCTGCTGACTGCGTACGCGAGTGAGTCAGAGGAGGACTCGACGGAAGACTCGCAATGAGTTCGGCAAAAGAGATTGATGCTGAGCGACGCCGCCTCTTTGATCAGGACCTTTAGCCAAAGGCAATTAGGTCAGACTCAGACATAGTTACGACACACTCGGCACAGGTAATAGAAAACCTGACATTTAACCCCAAAACTACTCTTTCTGGAAAGGACTCAGCTGTTAGCCAGGCCCCGCAAGGATGGAATGAGGATTTGATCAACTGCAAACAGGAGACCATGCCCAGGGAGGTGAGATCGCTGCGCTCCCAGAGTTTAAAGGGTTCGAACATCCAAGGGCCCAAGGGGTCAGATACAGTTTGCATCGTAGAATGCTCCAGACTGACAGGATTCTACTGACATTTTTTGACTCTACAATGTTGACATGCTGTTTGAATTGTAGTGGGACAAGTTGCGGGAGAGCCAACGTGTGCCGGGTGTTTCCGCCGACTTTGATGCCAAGCACGCTTGAGTGCCAGGTGCATCAACTCTGATGCATGTCACTCCCAGTGGTACGAGCTCAATTTGGTTCAGACCTGCAAAAACTAGCGCTATGAGCACAGGTCCGAAGCCAATGCAGACGAGGCCCATTGGGAGCAAAGATGGGAGGTCGCTTTGCTTTCTGCATTTTCACGCAACAATGCCTTAGCCCGGCAATCTTGTCTAGAGTTGAAGACTGTGTTGCAATGGGCAAGCACGTGTAGCAGGATGTGTGTGTGTGTGTCGCGACCCTAATGATGACTTCCCAGAAAAAGGCATTCCGCTTCTGATGGTCGTAGTCAGTAGTTCCCGATTTGATGCAACCACTGGTTGCCAGGACTGGTGTGGTGGTCTTTCAGAAAACACGTTTATAATCGTTTATATAACTTTCATCAGGGGCTGTACAAGAAACCAAACGGCGCATATCAGTGCGCTTGGCACAATATTATATAATGAAATGAACCCAGGAGCCAGGAGCCCAACACTATCCATGCGTGTCCTTTTTTTCGAACCTTCGATTTGAATGTGCGCTGACTGGGCAACCTGACGCCGTTTTGCAGCTGTTATGCTACAGTTAGATTCATTGACGGAAGCCAGCCATGAAATGGCAATGCTGTAGCTCTTGCGAAGGCTGCACTGTCACTGTAATTGTTTGATGGCGACAGGGATTTGATGCTTGGCACAGCTTGGGGACAGCCGAGCACGCGAAGCAATATCCTCGAATCAGTTTCGCGTGACCGTCCGTGCGGATTGTTTTCTTTTTTTTTTAAATAGTTATCCTTTGTACTGCTTACTACTGCTTGTATACGGCACGGGTTGGTTGACTGATTGTTTGCCCGCATGGCATGGGACCATGCAAACTGCTTTGCAGAGGCAACTTTCAACTGAGTGATGGCTCAATCTATAAGAGAGTTGATGTTGATGTCCTAAAAGCAGAATCTAATCTGAGAAACAGAGCAGCATGGCTTCAGTGTTCTTGCATTTGTTTAATGGTGTTTTTCCCATGTGTCCCATGGTGCGAAGGTGTCCCGGTTCCTCGGGCCATCTCGTTCCTGAAGCGGAGCAACAAGGTTCTTTGTTCAAGTTGTTTAGATGAAGAAAGCGTCCTTGCTACTAGTAGTAAGGCCAGGAGCCCCTAGTAGCGATGCCCTTGCTCCTAGTAGCGTCCTTGTTTCATTTTAGTATTTTCCCTATTTCCCTACGTCCATTGACAAAAACATGCAATGCATTACTGTTGAATGCCAACCAATCCCTGCCGGTATGATGGTTGCATAGCAGGCGTTATACGGCACACCTCTCCCAGCCAGCATGACATGCATGTGAGCAACTGCTTTTACTTTGCGTATAGATGGAACGTAGCTTGCGAGTGATGCGAGTGGACGCAATTGGTGTGCCGAAGCCACGGTGCCGTGCAGAATGCCAAACATGTGCTCTGATCCACAACGCAAGGAAGGAATCACACATGCACCAGAAACATCAACAAAAAAGGGTAAATTAGCGGTCACTCTGGCCGTCACTCACATGTGTTTTCAATTGTTGAAACGTTGCCCATCATCTTCCAATAGAATCCAGGCAAGTCTTGGAGGTCCCAGCTCTATGTTGGCTGACAGCCTAGGCCTAGGTCGCACAAGTGCCAGTGCTAGCCAATGCATGCAGAGAAGTGTTTGTTTCAGGCGAGGCTCCCAAAGCATTTTGCGCGAAGTTGTATAAAGTCGTGTGAAGTGTGCAGGATTGCTTCAGTGCTTTCTGTGATTTCAGGTGTGCCGGAACGGCGTGCTTGGCAGTTTTCCTGACCTTAATATTGCAAGGATGTGAGGTGGGAGTGTTGAAAACCCACTGCTCAGTCATTCCTGAGAGCAAGTCTTTGGCAGGTCACATGCACTTCTGATCTCTATGGAGTGAGCTCATGTGTGAAAGCCCAATACTGCGCGGACTCCAAGTTAGAATCAAGCTGGAGGAACCTACAACTGGTTGAGGGAGAGAGAGGAAGGGAGGGAGGGAGGGAGGGAGGGAGGGAGGGAGGGAGCGAGAGAGCGAGAGAGAGAGAGAGAGACGTGCAGACTGACAGAGTCTAGATCAAATGAGGTTGTTCGATCCGTTCATTTCACTGGACATCGACCGATGAAATCCCAGTAGCCCAAGTTACCCATGCGTTGCCCCTAAGGCCCTAGGAGTGAGATGCGTTCTAGCATGTTCTAGCAACATGTTGCAATCCAGGATCAGCTGAGTCTCAAGCTAAATATGTTAAGTAACAAGGGCATCGACTAGCACCCATTGACTCAAGCTGAGATCCTTTTAAGTTTGCTTGAACCTGATTAGGTGTGGACTCCAAAGAAACATCCAAGCCGCCCAGGCGACCAGATGGCCAGTTCAGTTCTGGAGGGAATGCCTATTGAGTTGTGTATAGCAGAGTGCCACTTGGCAGTGAGTGGGCCCCCAAGCCCACTCCCAAGCCCATCATCGCATGAGTTTGCCACGATTTCCAGCTTTGGAAACCCAAGGTGGCTATCGGAACTGCACAGCCATTCAACGTGACGCTGATTTGGCATTGATGGACTTGCGCGAAAGAAATCGATAGAATGGATCCAAAATGATGATCAAGGGGAATACCTGATCAACTCTGATGGGCTTACAGGTTCCCTTTTAGTACTGCTGGAGTATGTTCACAAAGTTTCCTGACGACATGGGTAAATGAATAGCAATAAGGATTGCAGTGGTCGATGCTTGCTGATGGAACACTGTGGCCACACGGTGGCCCGGTTGAATTCAGCGACGGTTCGTCCCCAACTGTGTGACTTTGATTGACGTTGTGCTGTGCAGCGTTTGAACACAAACGCCCAGTTTGATTGGACAAGGCACCAACACGCATTTGCAACACCATATATTACCTCGACGTTGAGCTAGTACCTTGGACAAGTTTGGAGCAACTTGGGGCTGATTAATGACACGTTATCGCCAGGACACCTTCTTTGAGTCGCTTGTTTGCTTGCTTTGCTGCATTGTTCTGGAAAGCATGTACCTAAGTTGACTACAACAACGACCACAACAGCATCTCAGCGGCATCTCTTTGAAATGCATTTGTTTTTCACGGCTGTGTATGATGATCAATATACCAGACGTTGCACACAGCCTAATGAAACACAGAGTGCAAAACTGGCCCCTTGACAGCTAGGGTTCCTTGACAGAAGCTCAGATTTCCTTTTTCATCCAAGACAGTCCGGGGCCGTTGCTACAAAGATGCGCCTGTCAACGAGAACTATTTGTGCACTACTCAGAGCATGTGGAGCGTGCCACATGAGTCACTAGACGTGTTGTTTTCAGCAAGCCCAAGTTGAACATGTTTTCCTGCCACTGTAGCTTGCAGCATTGTAGCGAAAAGATGTTAGCAGCACCGACCGGTTGATTTCATGTGGAGGGAGAGAAGTGGAATTCCGAAAATTGGTAAGTTTTAAGGCAACTGCGCAAGGGTTAGACACTCTCACGTGGGCATTGCAAAAGCTGGCAAGAGCAACACCAAGCGATCTCTTGGATGTACTATAGCTGCTACTGCTTTTGACTGCTATATATATGCCAAGCTAGATTGCGCGGTCTTGTTGTTTTTCTTTGATCC